ATAAGATCATGTCATCTGCAAATAGGGACAGTTGGACTTCATCTTTTCAAATCTGGATGCCTTTTATTTCTTTTTCTTGCCTGATTGCTCTTGCTAGTACCTCCAGTACTATGTTAAATATGAGTGGTGAGAGTGGGTATCCTTTTCTTGTTCCTGTTCTTAAAGGAAAAGCCTTTAGTTTTTCCTCATTTAGGATGATATTGGTAATGGGTTTGTCATAGATGGCTTTTATCATGTTGAGATACTTCCCTTCTATACCTAATTTGCTGAGAGCTTTTATCATGAAGGGATATGGGAATTTTGTTGAATGCTTTCTCTGCATCTACTGAGATAATCATATGGTTTTTGTCCTTGATTTTGTTGATGTGGTGTATCATATTTATTAACTTGTGTATGTTGAATCATCCTTGAATCTCTGGGATGAACCCCATTTGATCATGGTGTATAATTTTTTGATGTGTTGTATTCTGATTACTAGTATTTTATTGAGGATTTTTGTGTCTATATTCATAAGAGATATTGGTCTGTAGTTTTGTTTTTTTGTTGTATCTTTGTCTGGTTTTGGTATCAGGAGATACTGGCCTCATAGAATGAGCTGGGGAGTGTAGCCTCTACTTCAATTTTTTGGAATAGTTTGAAGAGAATGGGTATTAATTCCTCTTTAAAGGCTTGGTAGAACTCAGCAGTAGAGCCATCCAGTCCTGGGATTTTCTTTGTTGGAGACTATTGATTACTGCTTCAATCTCTTTGCTAGTTATTGGTCTGTTAAGATCTCCTATGTCTTCTTGGTTCAGTCTTGGTAGTTTGTATGTGTCCAGAAATTTATCCATTTCCTTCAGGTTTTCATATTTGTTGGTGTATAGTTGTTTGTAATAGTCTGTAATGATTTCTTTTTTTTTGTATTTCTGTGGTACCAGTTGTAATGTCTCCTTTTTCATTTCTGATTTTTGTAATTTGGGTCTTCTCTTTTCTTTTTTCTTTTTCTTTTTTTGTTAACCTAGCTAATGGTTTGTCTATTTTGTTTATCTTCCAAAAAAACAACCTTTTGTTTCATTAATCTTTTGTGTCATTTTTTGGCACTCTATATCATTTAGTTCTTCTCTAATATTATTTCTTTCTGGCTACTAACTTTGGGATGGAATTGTTCTTGTTTTTCTAGTTCTTTTAGGTGTAGGGTTAGGTTGTTTACTTGAAGTCTTCCAGTCTTTTTGTTGTAAGCATTTATTGCTGTAAACTTGCCTCTTAGTACTGCTTTAGCCATATCTCACAGCTAAATGATATGATGTGTCTTTATTTTCATTGTTTTCTAGATATTTTTTGATTTCCTGTTAAATTTCTTCTTGGACCTATAGGTCATTAAGGAGACTGTTGTTTAATTTTCATGTATTTGTATGTAGTCTTGAGTTTCACTTCTTATTAACTTCTAGTTTTAATCCATTATGGTCTGAAAAGGTAGTTGAGATGATTTTGATTTTTTTAAGTTATTGAGACTTAATCTGTGGTCTAATATGTGACCTGGAGAATGTTCCATGTACTGATGAGAAAAATATATACTCTCTTGCGGAAGAAATGTTCTATAGATATCTTTCAGGTCCAATTGGTCTAAAGTGTCATTTAAATCCTGTGATTCTCTGTTGATTTGTTGCCTGGAGGATCTGTCCAATGATGAGAGGTCCCCTACTATTATCATTTTGGGGTCTCTTTCTTTAGGTCTGGTAGTGTTTGCTTTACATATCTGGGTGTTCCAGTGCTGGGTACATAAATGTTTATGATTGTTATGTCTTCTCACTGGATAGATCCCTTTATCATTATATAGTGTCCTTCTTTGTCACTTTTTATGTTTTTTGGTTTAAAGTCTATTTTATCTGAAACAAGAATAGCTACTCCTACTTGTTTCTGGTTTCATTTGTGGTATATCTTTTTCCATCCCTTCACTATTAGTCTGTGTGCATCTCTACCAGTGAGATGAGTCTCTTCAGGACAACGTATAGTTGGGTCTTGCTTTTTGATCCAATCTGGCAGTCTGTGTCTTTTGAGTGGGGTGTTTAATCCATTTACATTTAGGGTCATTATTAAGAGATATTGTGTTATTCTTGGCATTTTATGGCTTTTTGTTTAGATGGTTTAAGTATCTTTTGTTTCTTTCTTCTCCTTTGATTATTGGTCATCAATGTTTGTGGGTTTTCTTGAGGTGGTGAAGTTTAGTTTCTTTTATCTTTCTCATTTGCATTTGTGTTTTACTAGTGGGTTTTGTTCTTACTTGTGCATTCATGTTAGTGATTAATGTTTTTTGGATTCTAGGTGCAGGACTCCCCTATGGATTTCTTGCAGTGCTGGTCATGTGGTGTTAACTCCCACAATTTTTGTTTGTCTGAGAAATACACTATTTCTCCCTCATTTCTGAAGGATAACCTTGCTGGGTACAGTATTCTTGGCTGGTAGTTTTTTTCTTTTAGTATTTTGAATATGTCAGCCCATTTTCTTCTTGCCTGTAGAGTTTCAGTTGAGACATCTGCTGGTAGTCTGATGGGGACTCCCTTATAAGTGTCTTGACTCTTTTCTCTTGCTGCTTTTAGGATTCTCTCTTTAAGCTTTTCCAGTTTGACTGTAATGTGTCTTGGAGAGGATCTTTTTGGATTGAGTCTATTTGGAGATCTTTGAGCTTCCTGGATCTGAAGGCCTGCATCTCTTCCTATACCTGGGATGTTTTCTTCTATTATTTCATTGAATAGATTTTCAATGCCTTTTCTCCTCCTCTTTAGGAACACAAGATACAGATGTTTGTGCACTTAAAGTTGTCTGCTAGCTCTCTTAGACATTCTTCATTTTTTAAAATTCTTTTTTCCTTTTTTTGGTCTGCCTTGGTTATTTCATAAAGACCATCTTTGAGTTCAGAAATTCTTTCTACCACTTGTTCTAATCTACTGTGTTTTTTATTTCATTGAATGTGTGTTTCAGTTCCAGGAGTTCTGCTACATTCTTTTTTAAGGTATTAATCTCTTTGTAAATTTCCTCCTTCATATTCTTGATATTATTTTCTAGTTTCATTGCGTTGTCTTACAGAGTCCTCTCTTACCTCATTGAATTTCCTTAAGATAGTTACTTGGAATTCCTTTTCAGTCATTCAAAGGTATACCCTGGTCTGCAGGGTCTGGTACTTGAAAGTTACTGAATTCCTTTGACAGTGTCATATTTTCTGATTTTTTTCATATTTCTAGTATCTCTACATTGATTTCTGGACACCAGGCAGATCCGTTGCTTCTTCTATTCATCTGGAATAGACTTGAAGGAGAGAGATTTATTCCTCTTTTTCCAGGCTCCTCCAGTGACTCTCCTTGTGTTGATGAAGTCAAATATGTGGTGGGCCAACTGTACAATGGTTGTGTATGTTTTTAAGGGAGCAAGCCATCCTTGCAACAGAAGTAGCTGTGGTGGTGGATTTTGTGGACCACCTCTGTGAAAGATGTGCAAGGCCTTGTGGTGGTGGTGTGGGGTCTTGTCTAGCATGCCAGCTGCTCAAGGGGCTGGGAGGTGAGCTATCTGGGTCTCCTGCCTGCCTGGCTTGATATTACCAAGCATTTCAAAATTTTGTTTTCTCAAAATATCTAAAGGGAATGTGAATGTTATTTTCACCATAATAGGAACCCTAGTGGCATCCCCATCAATTTGTGACAACAAAAAAATGAACGTTGTTCATGCCATAGTTGAAGAGGACAGAAGATTAACAGCCGAAACAATATCCAACACCATAGACATCTCAACTGGTTCAGCTTACACAATTCTGACTGAAAAATTACAGTTGAGCAAACTTTCTATAAATATACAGTGGTGGCAAAACTATAATATATTGTGGTGGTGCAAATTTCATATTTTTGATCAGTCAATTTATGAAAAATACAAACTAAAATTAGAAAAGATCAACTTACAATTTCTTGATTAACTATTTCAGTTAATTTCTGGGAAATTCAGCTGCAGTACTAATTCACCTAGTAACATTCAGCACTTTCAAACAGTGGTTTATTTACTGACAGTTGTGGCAAAAAAAGAATTGATATAAAATACATTTGACCTCTATAATACTAAATTGTAAAACTGTATCTCCACAAACAGGAAATAGCAATCAATGCCTGGGTTTCCAGTTTGCAAAAACTGAATTTTATTAAATACTATTAGGGTTTGTAACAGTACTTTAAAAACCCCACCAATCTCAAATCCCTGACAATCTAAAGATGTAAGAGCCTCTGACCTAACCAGCCACCTCCAAACCCTTTTAATCTCCATTTCTCTCTGAAAAATGTTTCTAATTTTCCTGGTATTAAAACCCCAGGGTCCTTAGCCTCTCTAATCTTCCACTTCTTTCCCCTTTTTATTATTTCTGTTCCTAAGAAGCAGCAGGGTATGGCCGAATATTACTTTAACTAGCATGTAACCTTGGCCAAGACAATGCACATTCCTGGGCCTCAGTTTCCTCAACTGTAAAAGGTGGAGCATTAGACGGTCTGTAAAGTCCTCACATTCCCCGTTCCAATGTCGTTGGGTTAAAAGAGAAAGCAGTTCCCAAAATACGCCTTGGTGGTCCACGGTCTGGGTGTGTAATATGCACTGTGCAGTCATTAATAAGTGGCTTTGGCCACTAATTTGGGGTCCCCACAGCTAACATGCCTTCCTTTCTCTGTGTCAGAAATCACCAACTGTGTCTCTCAGGTAAAACTGCCAGAGAAGTCTGGGATGAGAAAGTATTCTAAAAACGGGATCAAATGATTAAGCCCTCAGACTCGCGACTCTACAGCCAAGGTGCGAGCAGGTCGGGAGGGAAACTTACGGGACAGTCAGACTCTGAAACTCAGAATGCGCCAAATAAAGACCCTCCCTAAGAAAGAGGAAGGAGACTTGTACACAGGGGCCAGCTGGACAAACCGCCACAGGCACGAGGGAGCAGCGGAAGGGGCGGAGCCTGGGCTTCAGGGGCGGGGCCGGGGCTCAGCGACGCGTCCACCCACCCCTGGGTCCTGCTCTCCGTGGTTACCCTCGCTCGGCCGAGCAGGAGAGGCCGGGGGCGCCCCGCCGGGGAGCTCGCAGGCGGGCGCGGCAGTGTCGCGATCTCCACTCGGGATCCGTGCACTGGGCCAGCGACAGGCCAACTGTCGCGGCGTCTTCGCCCCTCGCGTGTCCTAGCAACCCGGAGACGCCGCTGGAACACCGCCCTCACTCGGGCCACGCCCCCCGCGAGTGGACCTTGGTGCGCACGCGCGGGGGCTTCACGGATGTCGGGCGCAGTTTGCTACATCAGTATAGATCCCAGGACCGGAGCGCTGCGAGGGTTTACCCCTGAGCAGAACTGGAGAGTGAAGCGTGCTATTTGCTGTTTCCTGAATCCCAGACAGAATTCCCTAAGAAAGCGGATCAGAGAATGGATCCGGAACTGACGTTTCTAGTTCCTGATAGTATGTATCTCCTGTCAATCTGTGGAGATTAAATGAACCAGTCCATAGGGTCGAGCATGGTGCCTGACAATTAGTAAACCTATAACATATGTTACCTATAGCATCAATTTTTTGGCTAACATTATCTTCATTATTATATTTAAAATACCATCTATTTTAGTGAAAAATGATCAGATTCAGGATACATATTTTGAATGTAGAACCATTAGGATTTGCTAATAAATTGGAGAGCGAAAGAGAAACAGGCAGTGGCGTGCAGGACCCAGCTCATTAGAGCTCGTGGGAACTGATGGTTGAATTCTCTGGAATTTTTTGAGCCAGTTGTTAAACACAAGCCGTATTACAGATTAAATTCTATAAACTTCTAATTAAATGTCATATTAAAACAAAGGTAATAAGTACTAAAAATTCAAAAAAGAAATACCATCTATTTATTTACACCTTTTGAATTTATTTCCTCAGCCCAGATCTTTCTCTGAACTTTAGGCTTGTATACACAATGTATATTCAACATCTAATTGGTCACCCAAAACAATCTCCCCAAATATCGTTTCCTTCAAAACACCCTTGCTCCTTCACGTCTTGCCCCGTCAGGAGATGATACCTAGAGTCCTCTCTCTTACCTTCCATATCCATCCACCAGTAAAACCTGTTGGCTTTACAGCTCCCACCTAAGTTTAAGCCACCATCATTTCTCTCCTTCTTCTGGTTATTGCAATAGCCCTCAAAAGGTCTTTCTTGACCGCCTGTACTCTATTCTCAACACAACAGTCGGTACAATCCAGCTTATGTCACTCAATTCAATAGCTCACAACCCTGCAACGGCTTCCCCTCTTATCCAGAGTAAAAACCAGAGGCTTTACAAGGCCAGTAAACCCCTACAAGATTTGCACACAACCTTCTACTCCCTTTCTCTGTAGCCCTCAATCACTCTGCTTTGGCCACACCAGCTTAACAAATAGCAGATGCTAAAGTTATATATTTTGAATGAATATATTTCAGCACCACCACCGCTGCTGCAGCTGCTAGCACTCTGATGTAGTGGAAGCAGTATGGCATGGTAGCTAGGCATGTGGTGTCTAGAGGATGACGGCCTTCTTGCATTTTAATCTGGGCTCTACTTAATAGCAACACGTCCTTGTGCAAGTTACTTAACCTGTTTCCTCAACTTTAAAATGACAACAAACACTGTACCTATGTGATGTGGTGTCTAGAGCATGACGGCCTTCTTGCATTTTAATCTGGGCTCTACTTAATAGCAACACGTCCTTGTGCAAGTTACTTAACCTGTTTCCTCAACTTTAAAATGACAACAAACACTGTACCTATGTGATGGGTTTGTTATGAGGATGAAAATAGTAAATATAAAACAATTCAGACAGCATCTGGAACTACATAATGGTAAATAGTAATTATTTCCAATAGAATGTGCACTCCATTGCCACAGGGATTTTTGTCTGCCTTGCTGACTGCTGTGTCTTTAGTATCTACAACAGTGTTGGACACATAGTAGATGGTGGATGAATGAATAAATTTGTTGAATAAATAAATTAATCCTCGCCATCACATTTCTTGAAATAATGCAACAGCTTCTTACTAAGATCCCCGCCCCAGACTGCCTGAGGTGTTCTTTCTACACTCTAACCCAGTGATTCTCAAATTTTAGCATCTATAAGAGTCACCAGGAGGGTGTGTTAAGACATGGGCAGCTGGGCCCCACCCAGTAGATCTAGGCCAGGGCAGAGAATTTTTATTTCTAACAAGTTAGCAAATATTGCTGGTGATGCTATTCCAGGGTCCACACTTTGAGAAATACTGTCTTATTCTCACCTATCACTCCCTTGTTTAAAACCACCCAGGCTTCCAAAAGCCATTTAAGTTAAAGGTTAAACTCCTTGGCTTGGTGTACAAGGTCCCTCATGGTCTGGTCCATACATAGCTGGTGCAGCCTTGACTTCCCCATTAAACCCCCAATATCTTGCCCCTTTTGAGCTCAATACCAAAGCTCTAATTGCAGTGCCCAGACTGAATAAAAGCTCATTTCCAGGACTTCACCTGTTCTTGGGCCTGGAAGCTGAACTCATATTCACATTCTCTACTCAGTTTTTCTGACAGCCCCTTTCTCCTTGCAAAATTGAGGTCTTTCTTTAGTGCCCACACTATACCTGAGCACACTTCCATCAAAGATCCTGTAAAACCTTTTGCATTTATTTGTTTCCATGGGTTTCTCCTTCTGCCAGACTGTAAGCTCTTGACAGGCCATGACTGATTTTTTCATGGGCCTCCAGGTTCAAGCCCAAGACCCGACACTTAGTAGATGCCAAGTAAGTAGTAACGGGTAATATTTATTGAGTACTCACCATTTTCTTTGTTTGTGGGTAGGCTTTATTGTTACCTCCATTTTACAGATGAGAATAACTGAGTTTCAGAGAGATTAAGTAACTTAACCAATATCACACAAATAGTAATGGCTTAGATGAGATTCTAACCAAAGCCTCCAAAATCTAATAAGTAACCCTTAACTCCGGAGCTATCTATTTTAGAATATTAACTTGAATTAATCCACACATTTCTCTGCCTGGTTCTAAGCCAAATTTCCTCGCATTTTTTTTTTAAACAGAAATTAGAATTTTAACAAAAATCACAAAAAACTAAAGATAAGCTGTGTGCAGCTAAATTTCATAAATTAGGACATCTTAAATTTTTTTTTTTTTTTTGTCTTTTTGCCACGGGATCGCAACCCTCGGTGTTGCTCCCGCGCCTCGCTCAGCCAGTGAGCGGGAACCGGTCTGTATGTGGGATCCGAACCCTCGGGCGGGAGCGCCGCTGCGCTTCCCAAGCAGCGCACTATCCAGTGTGCCACCGGGCCGGCCCAGGACATCTTAAATTTTAAAATTGTTAACCCTTGTGTGATAAGTACAATTGAGTAACATAAATATTTTATATTGCTTTTGTTATAGTTGAGTTGTGTTTCCCCTCATATTCAAATGTTGAAGTCCTCATGCTCAGTACCTCTGTATGTGACCTTATATCGAATAGGGTTATTGCAGATGTAATTAGTTAAGATAAGGTCATACTGGAGTAGTATGAGCCCCTAACTAAATATGGTTGGTGTCCTTCTAAGAAGGAGAAATTTGGACACAGGCACACACACCAGGAGAATGTCATGTGAGGAAGAAGGCAGACTTGGGGTAATGCTTCTACTAAGTCAAGGAATGCCAAAGATTACCAGCAAACCACCAGAAGCTATGGGAGAGAGATGCAACAGATTCTTCTTCACAGCCCTCTGAAGGAACCAACTTCCCAACACCTTGATCTTGGACTTGTAGCCTCCAGAACCCAGACAATAAATTTCTGTTGTTTAAGCCACCCAGTTTGTGCTACTTATATGATGGCAGCCCTAGCAAACTAATACACTTTTTAACATATACTAGCTCACTGTATACTTTCTAACATAACACTTTATTTATTCTAGAACAATATAAAATATAGTAAACATTTATTTATTATGGTTGGTCAGAGCAGGGATTGAACCCTGGATCTTGGTGTTATCAGCATCATGCTCTAATCAATTGAGCTAAATAGCCAGCCCTAAATTACAGTAAATTTATAATGCAAGTTATTTATACTGATAATTTATAAGTACATAAAATTAAGAAAAATATACGCTATAGTGATTTCCCAACAAAGACTTATATCTAACCTCAATAACTCTTTTTTAGAGATTCAGCATAATCTTATTCGTACTTTTCAGTCTTGCTGGGATAGAATGAATCAAGGAATTTGAAAGTTCAAAGAGCTTTGGGATTGCTGAAAGACAGAGATAACTGACTGAGGGATGAGGGAACAGAGATCAGTAGATGACACTGTTGACCACACCTCACAGTTTTCTTTACAAGCACCCACGGGAGGAATTTCTCTTGGGATTCAGTATCCAGAAAACTGGGTTTCTTCTGAAAAACTTATTTTTATGTTAAGGATGCCAAAAAACTAGTAAATGATTGTCTCCCTCTTTACTTTGGCCTGTAAAAGAGCCAAAATATATGGCTGCCTCTCTTAAGGGTTCATGTGTGTATGTCTGTGGCCTAGGCTGGCCCATCTTGGCTATTTTCTCTCCTATCTTTCCCTGTCTTGACTCTCTCACTATTTCCCTTTATTTTTTTTATACCATATCCACTGTGGAAAGAAGAGAAGATAAATAAGTGAGCAAAAAAATAAGAGTATGAGCACTATCTTGTCTTACATTTCCAGGAGCTCTAAACTCTTTGAGATTCTCCAAATGCCAGACTCACAGCAGAATTTGCTGTTAGGGATCAACAGCCTAGCCACAGTGATAGCTCCCCTTTATTCTAAGACAAACCGTCTTACACCAAATCAAAGGTGCTACCAGCAGTATATCCGCAGATTATTTTACTTAAATTAGTGATTATGGTGTCTTTTCCTCTCTACTACACCACCCCTTTATTTTTAAAAAAGATTTCACAAGAATCTGTATTTGAATAGAACTCTGAATATTGAGATAGGAGGGGCTCAGTTTCCCTGGGCTCAGGTTACAGGATACACCTCTGGGTTACAAGCCCTTCTGCAAGGTTTCAGGCCCCTCTTCTAGGCCCTCCCCTAGAGGGAAGTTACTGTTGCTTGTTAGGCCTATTTTCATCACAAAATGAAAGCTCGGCTTTCAGGCTATTAGTAGAGAAGCAGGAGCCGCACGCAGTCTGATTTTATTGTCATGGGTAAACACCCCAGAGTCCTTGTCTATTGTGAATGCGGAAAGAATCGCAATGAATGGGCAGTTCGAGCAAGCAGAATGGTGTTTTATTTATGTTGCCGCAAGCCAGGTAGGTCTCACCCTAAAATAAACCAAGCTCCCTGAGCATGTTTTAAAGAATCCAGCTACAGGAGCTCATCCATATACAACAAGGGCTGGGTTATTGCTATACATATTCAAGTAGGGATAAGCACGCAGGTGCAGTGCGGGGTCATGGATATTACACGCCAACCCTGTTCTCTTGCGGGTGGAGATTTAAACATTAAAATGAGGGAGGGATGGCCTTGTGCCGTCAAAAGGTGAAATTTCGGGCGAACTTGAGACTTCCGCGCACACTCCCTGATCTGGCCAACATTGCTTAGAGCTAATGGGGAATATGCCGTCGGTGGTCATCAACCGGAGACTGCTTCGCCCTGTCAGAATAGTTGGATGAAAGGAAGGAGAGGAGAACAACTTGTTAGGGTGAGGAGGGAATGAAGGGTAGGTCTTAATCAAAAGGAGTGGGGGCGGGTGTCGGCTGCTCTGTTTCCGAGCGCAGCTCTGCAGCCCGCTTGGCCTCCCTGGGTGCGGCCGCCTGCGGTGGACTTTTGTTACCCTTCGCGCTACTGTAACTGCGCAGACACCGGCAACTCCACCAGCGCTTCACCCGCGTCTTGTTTGTTAATTTCTGGCAGGAACGAGACCGCTCCCTCCGTACACTTGATCTCCACGCCCGGCCGCCCCGGCGCTAGACAAAGGTGCGGGCTCACAGCTTGCAGCTCAGCTGGGAGGTGGCGGGAACCCGACCCGCAGCGCCTTGGCTCCGCCCCCGGCCGCCGAGCCCCTCTGATTGGACGTGGCTACGCTCGGCCGGCCAATGGCGAGGCGGCGCACGGGTTCCCGGAAGTGGCGGCGCCGTGGTGGTCGGGCTAGGCTTCCGCGACCGTCTTGGAGTCCCGTCGGCCGCGATCGGCGGCGCTATGAGTTCCTTCGAGGGACAGATGGCCGAGTATCCAACCGTTTCCATAGACCGCTTCGACAGGGAGAACCTGAAGGCCCGCGCCTACTTCCTATCCCACTGCCACAAGGGTGAGTGAGCGCTACGCACCGCCCACTGTCGGAGCCAGCGGACCGGAGAGAGGACAGGATGTTTTGCCATCCTGGAGCAAGGGGGTTGCAGGCTGTGGGAGGCCAGAGAGGGACTGGCAGGCACATTTCGTCCCAGTCGGGCTCTTCAGCCTCTCAAAGACTTTATTTCCGGATCTATACAACCCGGCATAACAGCGACTGCCAGTTGCAAGCTGCCCCGGCCCGCTTGGTCCTGCTCTGTTATCAGGCTCTTTAAATAGCTCTCCTAGTGGCCGACAACCGGAGTCTGGCGAGGACTAGTTAGCTCTTTCTCCCACAGACTCGCTACCATATATAAAGAAAACAAGTCTCCGATCAAATTCTGCCACAGCCTCAAACACTGATTAGCAAGCAGGCACACTGGGATACATACACAGTGTCAAATCAAACAGCCTGTCTGAAAGCAGGATGAGGTGCAAGCTCCCCCTCCTTTCAGATGTTCCGTGAAAGCACATCCAGTGTGAAAGGTTCATTCTAGTCTTGGATGCCAGGATGAGGTTTACCTTACAGGTAGCATCAGGCAACCAGAATACTGTGATTTCACAGGTAGACGCGTTTAGGGATTAAATTTAGTCCTTTTTGGGGGGTGGGGGGAGAACGGGGGGACGGCCGGCAAGTGTGGAGATCTGAACCCGAGACTTTAGTGTTACAGCACCCCGCTCTAACCAGCCGAGCTAACCAGCCAGCACAAGGGATTGAGAATGTCACTCTCTAAACTAGGCTCCAGACAACCATAGAGGAATCCCCAGAGTTTGAATACCACTAATTTCACAACTGTTGTCCATTTTTAACATCTGTTATGTTGGCTAATTAGTCACTAACTTTACCAGTGAAAACCAGTTTTAATGTTCATTGTGCTAATTAGCAGAGCCCTTGGCATTGATCCTAGGTAAAGATAAACTGAAACACCCCAGGAGCTACCTCTTGCGGTGTCGCCTTCCAGAGTAG